AATTGCTACGCATTAATAACTTCTTAAGTTCATCTTTAAAAAATGAAACTTTAATATTTTTTACATGTTATTGCGCATAAGGCTCAATATATCTTAAAAATCGAAAATATATTGAAAAAAATTTTGGACTCGGGCAGGACTTGAACCGGCATAGTCAGCATTCCGTGCTGTTGCTCTGAGTTTATTTTCGTTTTTTAAATGTCTTTAGTTGTTAGAACTATCCACATGTACATTTTTAATTATATCCATTGATATTGGAAAGTAACTTATAATATATTGAAATTAGTTCATTTAGAATACAATGTGCTCCAATTAAAGTTAAAATTGCCTTCACTGTCGCTTATATTGATTATAGACTAGGGAGGCAAAACATTCATGGTTCGTTCGCATTCGGTTATACCGTATTCGGATAGAGTTAAATAAGTTAGAGCCGATATTTTACCTTAGCTTTGTAAAAGTAAGAAATTTGAAAATCCGTAATTATATTAAAAAAACCACAATTAAGACACTTCTAATAGCAAGTTTATTTATCTACTACTAAACCGCCTCATTCACGACGTTTGTCGCGTCTCATTGTTTTTGCAAGTAATTTTTAAAAGATAGACATATAGTGCCGCGGCTATTTTTTATAATTTAAAGAGAAATCATTCTTTCATACTTATTTTTTGGTTATCTTGATTACTCATTCTCGTTTCTCTACATTTTCCGCATTTTCTTCGCTCCTATTAGTTGAAACGTGATGTTATACCTATAGCCTTCCTCGATAAATGCTCTAACCATAACAAAAATATTTTTTCCATTCCCTCTAGTAGTTCTTGAGATTAGCGCGTTCACTCTTTAGCTAAACATTAGTATAGATGGATAGTTATTCTATTTTAGTTTGTTAACAATTCGGATTCGGCTTAAGCCGCATTCGGCACATCTCTATTGCAGACTATACAATTATTTAAGAAATGATAAGAAACACCCAATAAGTAGCTGTGGATGTTAATATTTCACTTGAAAATATGGTCGCGTCTACGTCATTGTATGCAAATGGCCGTCAAAGCATAATAATCAATATTAGTTGTAGTTGCATGAATAACGACGCAACACAAGTGTTAAAACTTATGACTGTTTATATCTGTCAAAATTTTGAAGTCAAATAAATGACTGAACAACTAATTAACAAGTCAAATGTGTTGAAATGTACTAATGGCTGAATTCTTAAATCTATGCAGAGAATGGCTTTGTTCGAACACAGCTTTTTACTTAAGCAAATATACCAACTAATAATAATTTTTGTAGACCTCAAACCCAAAGCAGTAATGAATTAAGATAATGCCGTGTTTATTAATATAATAAGCTGTATGTGCCAATATCTTATGTGTATATTTTTTCTTTTAGATAATGGATTCCTTGTAATAACTATAAATTCTTAATGACGGTCCTAAGTACTGAATTACTCTACTTTATTATTATTCTTACAGAACTACACGTACACATACAAATAGATATAGACATACACCAAATAAAAAACTTGACTCCTAAGTATAAAAAAATAAACTAAGAAACATATAATATTTGAAGTTAAATGAAACAGCCCAACCATGTAACATCACAACAAGATGCGCTATCGACCGCTTTTGACTTTGGATATTCGGAAATTTACAATCTGAAACCGAACCGCGATTATACTTGACTGCTTTTTCTTCTGCGGACGGAATTTCGATATTCCTAACAGCCATTTCATATCCAGTTTTCCAGACAAACTTTCAGGAACATTTTAAATTAATTAGAAACATGTTGGTAGGGATTGTACCCACGACCCGTTGTCTATTGACCACACATTGATATACACCGATCCCGTCGAAATCCGTCGTTTAAGCGGCTCAAAGTGGTTATTCACATACTCTATTTATACGGAGCCCATCCCGCTCCATCCCATAATTGTTGTTAAGTACTTAATCACATAACTGCGTAACTGTTCTTGATAGAACTCCTTGATTCGAGCGAATTAAAATCTTTCGAGACGACTCTTCGCTCATTTACATAACTATAAAAGCGTTTTCAAATAACTAAATTCTTTACTGCTATTAGTAACCCATTAGGCGTTTAAAATAAATAGCTTAGCTTCTAATATATTGACCACCTCTGTAGCTAAATGGTTAATGGTTAATGGTTAAACAAGTTGCGAGAGGTCCTGGGTCTGATCTCCTACTCCAAGTTAACAAAACCGATCAGTGAAAAGAGCCCCGAAGTGCAGGCCCCATGCCCCATGCCTCGTGGGAAACTTGATTGCACTTTTAATATTTTTTTTCGGGTTTTCTTGCTATAGATGTCCACCAATATTTCTACATTATGGTCACTTTGAAATAAAACACAGCGGTGTCTCCCCGTGACCACGGCTTCTGCAAAGCATTCGTAACGAATATCAATAATCTTAACTAATAAATTTCGCGTTTTAAACCGTTTTATATTTAATTGTTTACTCGCGTAAACTACAGACTGTATTAATTACTCATGTTATAAAATGTCCTTTGTTAAAACTCAGTTATATAAGAATCACTCGCTGCACCGGTGCAGAGTTGCTTATAAAGACAAGTTAAGCTTCAATTAATCAACTCAACGAATTAATTCTGTTTAGTCATTCCTGTGCTTTGAGATAGAACTTATGAGATTAAACAACTGACAAATTGAATGGACAATGGTCAGCACTCAGCTGCGTATTAGAAAACTTGATCTATGGGAATTTGGGACTTTATTATTTTTCTATGTTAAGCGGTTCAAATGTCTACTGGTGAAACGACGTGACGTCATCTGGAATTTTGACTATGAAGAGCTTGTCTATAGTTTACGCGAGTAGTACACATTTAAATAAAACACTTTAACGGTTTAAGAATGATTTTTAGCTTCGGCCCGACGTTTCGGATGCTTTGCAGCAGCCGTGGTCACGGGGAGAAACGTCGGGCCGAAGTAAAAAATCATTTTCACATAAGTTTAACTAATATATCGCGTTTTAAACCGTTATAGTGTTGTATTTAAATATGAAGAGTTTATTGTATTTATCAACATTTTTACATAAGTACTAAAAACACGAAATGCTTTTTATTGTAATACTATATGTTTAAATCATATATAATGGGTAGAAGTTGACTTCTTAAAAAATTAAGACCTATAGGGTACAGTGCCAGATCAGACTTCTGTATCCTGTCGAGGGACACAAACTCATGAGCTCCCGTGCTATACACCATTAGATACCCCAACTGTGGAGGCGGTTGTAATACATCTTAAACGACTTCGATTAATAGCATAGAAATAAATTAAAAACTATCCATTTACGTGTTGAATTTCGTTAAAGTAGGTTAAGTAGCCAATTTCATTGTCTCGGCTGGATGTTGCAAGATCTATCGATGCTTGATTTATGGCTCGTTAAAGGTTTTATCGATATAAAGTGTTTAACGATCACCTCACTAAACTTTCAAAGGCTACAAAATAGAGCGTAACTTTTTTTTAGAAAGGGGTCTAAGCAAACTTGTTTTTTTTTTGCTGAATTTGTTACTTGGTTTACTCTGTCCATCATCTATTTTTTAAATTACTGGTCTTAAGGTTTAGGTTATATTTCTTCAGGTTAAGAAATACTCAATCCCAACGATGGGAACTATAAAATATCGTAATTATAAAAACCGAATAAAAAATAAAACAATATTTTAATTTAACTCCAAAGTTATTTGACCTTAAAAGTCTAGAACCATTGTAATTTATACGCATATAGGCTATAAATAATGCTACCTCATAATAACGATCTTTAGATACAGAGTATAAATTATTTATTAAAATAATACAGGTCCACTATCCACCTGTGTTACGCGTCTAGTAAAAAATCTACAACAGAATATTGTGGATCATATTTATTACAAGTTACACGTCTCTTTTTGTTAACTGGATTCGTTTTTAGTCTGTATTTTGTGTGTTCATGACATAAATAACAAAGATGACATTTAATTATGCGCGTCAAACAATCTGCACCTAGACATATTTGTCGTCTACTTCTTTCTTCGTTATTTTGATAGAACAGAAAATGTTCTAGCCCTATACATCATCTTATTGAGATGCGCTGTCGTCTCTTTTAACTTAGCTATCATTAACATCTATTTGATGTCTACCTTAACATATGAGTGAAGAACTCGATAGGTCAATTGGTAGAATGAAGAGGCACGGAACGCTGGCGATGCCGGTTAAAGTTCAACTCGAGTCTAAAAAATTTTCAATTTATTTTCAATTTTTTAAATTATAAGGTACTAAGTCTGATTGAAAAAAAAGGGAAAACATTCGGTAAATTAGACAAGCGCTCACTTACGCAATATTATTCAATATATAAAAAACAATGATCTCCAAGATACGATAACTTGACTCCATGTGCAACCACTTTGAAAACAATAGCCTCAACCGGACACCTTACGTCAGTATTATAAGATATTAGAAGCATTGCGGTTATTCATCCAACCTCATCCACTATAATATTACGAGCGTTGCACTTAAGAGACGTCACGATATACCCATCCCGCTCGCACGATGGCCGGTCGCTGCACGTGCGCCTTGACAAAACGGGTTTCGCTGCCCAACGAAGATTTTATTAATTCCTTATATTCAAACTCTTGGGTTATCCTTGCGCCCTGGTACTCGTATCATCGATCCCATTGATAACAAATTGCTTTCTCTTTGTCCTGTCTGTCAATTCGCTTGTACTGTGCGCTATTACTTTTAATGTCTTTTTTATTTCTGCAATACTGGTACCTATCTATCGATGTGGGGTTAAGTTTGAAAACTTATAAAGTAACGCCCACACATTTTATGTATGTTTTGTTTTCTGTATCTTACTTACTACCCTCACTTGCTGTACTCGTAATGAAATTATTTAAAAACTTTAAAAGATAAAAAAACTCTAAAATCATTCAAACGCATAACATTGTAACGTAAACTTTTTTGACCAGTAATTGATAACATTTTCTTGTCCACAGATCGTCCATACTCAGAATCAGACATCGAAAGACCATCCGCAGCGCCGCCACCTAGCAGACTATCAGCGTCGTCTCCCCCCCTTACGCTACCCCTTGACATGGACCTCGAAGATGACGTATTCAGCCCTAGAACGGATATGGGTAACGACAGATTCTCCACGACAAACCTCGAGATCTTTAGATACGGAAATCCCAGGACTCCAGCTGGTGTGTTACTGAGTCCACGACGGGAATCCTCGTTTTGTTTCTCCGTGACGAGCGAAAAGCATTGGAGAGATAAGGGGGGAACGGATGTGGCTGATGGAATAGTGGAGAGTGACGTGGTAAGTCTCATTTGATGTCCTTATCCTTCGAAAGGATTTATATATTACTTGGAATACCTATTATATATTTAGAGACGTAAAAGTACGTATAGTGAAGTTAAATGGTTTCAGAATTTAAGAAAAAACAATAAGACCGACAAAATAACAATATTTTATTACTTTTTGACCATTGAACCAGGGCATTTGCTAGTACTTATGGCGTTAAACATAAGTACTTACCTAAAATTGATAGTTATTCAAACATAAACGTAAGCATTGTCGTCCAATTAAACAAAGAAAATTGTGAAAAAGTCCTTAAAATCTGTCCAATGAAGTCAAAGAAGATTTCACCCCAAAACTTGCTCAAAAGAGTCACCTTCAACCCATCAACCTACATTTAGCGTAAGTACATAAAATACGTGTAAATTGTCCGCATTCGTGGTATGATATTAAAAAGTTATTTTTTTCTCAAAGTCGCACGCGCGCCTTTGTTCAGTACTGCAAATGAATCATACCCATAAAAGTCGATGAACCTGTACACAGATATTAATGTGCTAACTTTGTATCAGTAAAAACGTAAATACGTTAAACAAATGAATTGCTGTGTTTAACCTAATTAATATAAAAACATTAAGTTTACTTTCATTTCATTAATCAATACGGCCGTTGTAATTAATTTTGTGTAGCCTGTAGTATACGCGAATTGTATACATTAAGTAAAACATTTTTACCGGTTTAAAACATGAAATGTGTTTAAATAAAACACTTTAACGGTTTAAAACGCGATATATTAGTTAAACTTATTTGAAAATGATTTTTAACTTCGGCCCGACGTTTCTCCCCGTGACCACGGCTGCTGCAAAGCATCCGAAACGTCGGGCCGAAGTTAAAAATCATTTTCAAATAAGTTTAACTAATATATCGCGTTTTAAACCGTTAAAGTGTTTTATTTAAATGTGTACTACACGCGTAAACTATAGACAGTATGAAATGTGTTACTGAATTTAATTTTAACACGACTTGTCGTAAGTATACACTTCTAAACACCCAATGTAATGATAGGTGTTTGAGTGTCTTTGTCCTTAAATCTGGACAATATCTTCTTAAGTTCTTCGTGAACACCACTGCTGAAAAGCATCCAAAACGTCTGGTAGTTGTTAAAATTAAATTATTACTAATTTATTCCGTTATTGATATATAATATTCGCTGCAAAATTAAATTTGGAACAAGACTAAAGAACTCTCAAAAGTTAAAGCGCCTGACAAAAAGTTAACGCAATAACACAATCAAACACATTGCTTTAAAAATTGTTAAGGCGTTCGATCGTAAATATTTCCAGAGTTCTAAACATAGGGAGGGTTGAGGAGTTCAATTACATTATTAATGTTAACAATAAAATAAAAAGTGCTGACTCGAGGAAATTAAATCTTTTCTGATACGCGCAGTTTTACGTTCAAATAAACTTTAGTACGAGTGTTTTCTTTATTGGGGCGATTAGATTATGGGTTAGGCCTGGAGAGGTTGTTATTTTTCACCCGCTTATAAAATATATAAGACTCTTTTACAATATTTTATTTAATATTGGTTAAACCAAGTTGTTTTATGTAAAAAATTGTTTCACTTATTTACACAACATGTTTAAAATTTGTTATAATATAAACCAAAAGCCGACTTTAAAAACAATAAAACAAATATAGTTTAAAAATTTACATTGTCTTTCTCTCACTAATAGAATTACAATTTGTATTAAGGCTGTTCCAGTAATTTTATGACTAACTGGTCTTAAGACAGCCTAGCCCCTTTCCGTAAAAGTTTGATACCTAACATACTTGCCCCAAACATAGGGATTTTGAAAAAACCGTGTAGCTTAATCGCATTTAGGTTCCATTCTCTGGATTTACAAAATACGGATATAGTATCTTACTATCTGCATAATTGATTAAATGTCTATAATAGACTCGCATTCAATACACTCCAGGAAGTAGTGAGGACTTATTTATTATCAGTTTGTATGCATATCACTTCACCACATAATAAGAAAATGCCAAGATGCGCGTACGCATTTTGGCCAAAAGCCAGCGACTGTGTTGATTTTAATAGCGGCAACTGGTTAAGTGTGTCATTAAAATTAAACGTTCTACTAAAGCTTAACTTTATGGTATTTAATTTGGAGACAATGATATTTAATTTAACTAACTATTAATAAAATGAAAAAAAAAACCAATGAAAATCTCATCTAATTAAAAAGAAACCTTATTTATTTCAGTTATGATATAGAGAGACGTAACCTCCTCAAAAAAGAAAGAATTGTTAATTAAATTTATATTTAAATGAGACATAAACTTAGTTAAACACATATTATTAAAATATTACTATTAATAAGGAAAAAATAACGGTTAAAAGAAAAATTTAATGAGAAAGATATTAAGAAACACTAAAGAATTAACAATCGATTATAACTACTTACTATAACTCGGTAGCTCAATAGCAACAGCAGAGAATGCCTGTGGATGCCAGTTCGAGTACTGCCCCCGAGTCGTAATTTTGTTTTGTATTTATATTCGATTTTTAATTTATATAGTGCCACCATGGGCAATAATATGCGAAAAATATTAAAGTTTTCTAGACTAGAGAAAGGTTTCTTTAGGAGTCCTGAAACAAAAATTTTGTGTCACCTCGCAAAGGAAATCGCACAGCGCTGTTTTTCATTAAGAGAATTGGTGACATAAAACTTATTAAACCTTCTTAAAGAACACACTAGGATAGTTAATGAAACAGTCCCCGCAATAAAATACAGTGACTTTGAAAGATGACTCCCGCTTCCGTCTTTACGTTAGAAATAAACTTATTTTAGTATTTAGTAGGGAATTAATTGCGCCACAAAACATTGCGAGCGATGAAGATGGATTTACGCCTTATTGGAAATTTCATTGTTGGTGCTTAGAGCTGAATGAGTCATTCCCTTTACTATAATAAAACGTAACGGCCGGTGTAAATGTTTTAGGTGACTGTTTGTTTTTTTTTTGTAGTTCTTTATACATCGCATGCTATTTATTTTCTATAATCAAGCGGTACCTTATTCACAACACACCGACCGCCTCTGTAGCCAGATAAACTGTACAACTGGACCGAAATAAGAAATGTTTTCGGTCGGTCTGGGAAATGGGAACAACAAAAACAGAACTACTAAAGAGAAGGACAGACAAGCATGGGATTCACATTAATTGTCATGATGAAATATACCTGTTTCCCCGTGACCACGGCTGCTGCAAAGCATCCGAAACGTCGGGCCGAAGTTAAATCATTTTCAAATAAGTTTAACTAATATATCGCGTTTTAAACCGTTAAAGTGTTTTATTTAAATGATGAAATATCCTAGCCTATAGCATCTACACAAAATGCGCTGTTGACTGTTGTTCTTGATTTTGGTTATGGATACTCGGAAATCTACAGACTGAAACCGAAACGCGATTAAACTTCACGACTTTTTCATCTGTGGACCGTGACCTGGACAGAATTTTGATATTTCTGCCACCCATTCAGATTTGCAGACGATGTTAAAAATCTTTCAGAAAACTTATAAATTAATTAGAAAAACTTTGGACTCAGTGGGGATTGAATTGGCCACACATTGCTACCATTACACCAAAGTCCCCGTCAAACAAACAATTATCACTACCAACATTATAAAACCAGTAGTGAGTAGTTCAATGTTGGTACACTGTAATATGAAGCACATTTTAACAAAATGACCTACAAAGCAGATTCACTCAGTTTTATTAGGCACAATGAAACATAAACACGGCATAATTATTGCATCAACGTGTCTATATTTAGCGTGCTCGGCGGGAGAGATGATATTTTATTGTGAAATTAACTGTTAAACACAACTGCGTAGGATGTCTTGCGAAATTGATAAACGCACTTGTATAAACAACGGTTAGAATATATGGGATAGCATGTGAAAAAATAAAGGCAAAGACATAAGGGAGTTGAAGTATAATTGCAGAAATCTTTTAAGGCACTTCCCATTTTTATTTCTGCCCAAGCCTCGTATGTACACATTGTCTTATCATTTTAATAAATTAATAGTTTTTTTTTTTCAATTACATATATTATTATTATATATGTACTTTCTAATAAAATAATATCTATACTGATATTAGAAAGAGAAAGAGTTTGTCTGTTTGATATTATTTAAATTGAAAAACAATTTTTGTGTATGTTGTACTATATATCGAAGAACGCTTTTGGCTATATAACACGCTAAGACCAATAGCAACAAAGAAACAGAGAGAAAATGTTGAAATCCCGTTTTTCAATTATTCATAGGGCGTGTGCTAAGAACACTTTTTAAGATACCCAAAAAAAAAGTATAAAATAATAATTTTTTTTTAAATGATCTAATAAATATGCGTGATAGTGATCTACTTAACCTTTTAGATTAACTACCAATAACAACGATGGCGTCTAACAATCCATAGAAGCTTTATTTAATTTCACAATTTACCTTTATATGCCTCTGCAGCCAAATGGTGTTACTGCAGGTAAACGTATTGCCTAGCATTGCGTTAAGCGCGAGAGGTTCTGGGTTCGAATCCCAGGGAAACATAAAATTGTTTCGGTCGGGCAGGGCATAGAAGTCTGATCAACTACTTGCCCGTTAAAATAACGGACACAGAAACGTGTTCGCCTCATGCACCACGAGGGGGAAACGGGCTTTCACCACACTTATGATTACCGTCAATATCATCGTGCTACAGTACTTATTTGTAGGTTTCGCGACTCAAAAATCTGCAACATTAAACCAAGAGATGGCGCTCTAAGCAAAAATAAGTATGAGAAATAATTCCTTAAAATGTAATCTACATTAATGCCGTCTCCGTAACAGATCATCCACCAATTTACTTATGAATATTAACGTCCCAAAATAAGAAATGGGGCGAGAAGAAAGCGGACACTCGTAACAAAAAGCCCGCAACCCTCCGATGATCCTCGAAAGCGAAAATACATTTTGACGGATGACAAAATACTG